ACAAGGGGCACAGCAGCAGCTCTGCCCTGCACTCACCTCCTCCTCCTTCTGCAGGCTGTCGGGCTGTGCCAGGCGGAACAGACAGTCATAAACAGGGTTCACCAGAGCCATCATGGGCATGTTGTTCACCTGCAAGGAGGCAGGAGCCATGTCAGCTTGGGGCCACAGAGGGAGGAGCCTGCAGCTATTTCAGATAGTTGTTCCCTTGCTGCTCTCCAAAGGAGGTGGAAGCAGGATTTAGCTGTGCTGCGAAATGTCATATTGGTGGGATTTACATTTGAGTCTCCAGGAACCAGAGAAGCTGAACAAATGATGTAAAAAACATCTATTTTTAAATTCAAGTAGATAGTCTTCGGAAATACACTTGTAACAACAGCATTTTTCCTTCTTACAGCTCTTACTTGCATCATTTTTACATCTACCCAAAGCAGGAATCCAAGTTCACACACTGCACAAAGGCCTGCAGACAAACTCCATCAGTATGTCCCCCCAGGACCCCAGAGCAACTAAACCAGTCCAGTCTGGGAGCAGGCAAATCAGGGGATTTCAAATACCAGGTACAAAATGAGAGAAGCTGAGACTTCGTGACTGTTTGTGGAGACTCTGCCTCTCCAGGCCTGTTGCTTGCCTGTAGGGAGCACCAGCCCTGGCAGCATCCTCATGCTGAGAACCAGCTCTGGCCCCCACAGCCCTGGGGCTCCTACCCAACACCCCTGGTATCTCGGGATGCCCAGGCCCTTCTGGCACCCCAGGCAGCAGCAGCTGGCTGCTCCTGCCCCAGATCCTCACCCTCAGGTAGTCGAAGATGTTGCAGATGAAGGTGACGTAGCAGATCCAGGCCTGGAGCGAGCGGGTGCGCAGCTCCTCCCTGTCCTTGTACTCCTGCTGCAGCCGGTTCAACAGGCTCCTCCGGAAGATGCTCTGGCCAACTTGTTTGCTCTCTGCCTACAGTCCCACAAAAGCAGGATGGAGGGATGAAACAGGGGTGTGGGAGGGGCAGGAGGATGCTGGGGGATGCAGGACCATGCATATACCCTCCTGTGATTCCCAGGCAGAAATGCTGCAACTCACTGCCTGTGCTCACCCACTGCTCTGGATGCTGCTACTGCACAGGGCAAGCAGCAGGAGAGGAAAGGTGGCCAAGGGGTCAGAGCATGGGGCTGGGGCAAAGCCTCTCCTGGTCCAGCTGGGGGACAACCCACACAATATATCCCAAGTGTTTCGCAGTCCAGACAGGAGCTCTCACCTGGATGATGGTGTAGCAGATCCGCCCTGCCTCCTTGCTGAACACACAGTCTTTGAGGGACTGGTCCACTATAATATTGGCCACTTTCTCCAGGTCCACATTGCTGGGGTCTGCAGAGAGGAGAAACACTGTCAGGCCCAGCCCTCTTTGGGCCCTGATTGCTCTGGGGGGTCTGGAAGCAACCCATGGTCAGTGCATGGCCTGGTACAGCCACGTCGAAGCTGAGAATGGCAGGGGAGCCCAGAAAAACCTGCTGACCTTTGAGGGCTGTTTTCAGCAGCTTCTGAGTCTCAGAGTCGAACGACTGTATTTTGTACTCTTCTTTGCCCGTTTCCCCCATGACTGGACTGCTCCAAGGGCCAGAGTCAGAGCAACAGATGGGCTAGTGCCAGTCCCTGGGGAAAGAGCACACAGAGCTTGGTTGGACAGAGAGGCAAATCTTCACACCCCATGCAGTAAATCCCATCTAGTGCTGGAGCTGTTATCCTGACAGCTCCCCACCCCAAGGAAACTCCTCTGTTATTAGGGCACCAATTCCAGCCCTAGATCCAAACATACCCTCACTCCTACATCTTTTTAAGCTTTGTTTCCCACCAGCCTATGACAGAACTTCATCTTCAGAGCCTTTACATTCTTCTGATATGAAAAACATGTTACAGACAAAGCAGACCCAGAATATATCAACCTTGCCTCAGAAGGCTTCACAGTGCCTGTATCACAGGGAAGCACACGCCGCTCCCTTGTACCTTTGAAAAACCAATTTAGCTGGTTTCACACAAAACCTGGGAAGAACTGAAGCCAGCACGAAAGCATCCAACACACACTCACCTGAGCACCTCTCCTACCCCAAAGCCAGGCTCCCTCGGCTCCCAGCGAGTCACAGCAAGTTCCACAGCCAAATCCCCAACACCAACAGCTCCTGTCTCATCCCCCTGCAGTCAAGCACAGCTCTGCGGCACCAGTAGAGCACTTAAACAGTCTCTAGATTGATTTTCTTCTGCTCCATGATAAAGAAAAGAAAGCAAGAGGGTACCCACAGCACAGAGAGGAAGGGCTTTGACACGCACACAGGATGATCTGCTGGATGTGAACTGCTGGGCTGCCAGACCCGCAGCACAAACAGGACAAGGCAATCGGCCAAATGAGTTTTGCCAGCTCGTCGAAATTCCTCGGCCATTACTCACCCTCTCTGCAAACACCGGATCAAAGCCCAGGACCCATCGCCCTTCAGGGGCATGGGCAGTACAGTGGGCAACCCCTCGGACACAGCACTTGCCAGGAAGCTGTGGCACAACAGGTAGAAACCCAGAGCAGAGAGCAGCCCCATGGGGGTGACGACCTGCTGACACTGCTCTCACAGCCAAAGCTCTCACCTGGCCCGGGACCTGCACACGTGTCTTTCCCAGGTAGATTCACAAGCAGCTGGGTGCCCTCCGTGCCATGCCTGGTTGGCAACCACCTTCCCAGCCGACCTCTCCTCCTTCTGCGCTCTCTCCCTCTGCACCTGCACTCACTCTCTCCTGCTGCACTGCCAGTGGAGCAGCCCGAGCTCTCCAGCAGCCCCGTGTCCCACCAGCAACATCACCACGCAGAAGGAACCTGGCAAGAGCTCAGCACCGCACACAGCGAGGCAGAAGTGCCCGAGCCCGTCTGGCAGCGTCTCTGCAGCCGCCGCCGCCCAGCCCCTCTCCCGGAGCATCCATCCCCATGGCTCCCCGGGACGGGCACGGCCGCTTTGAACTGCCGTGCCAAACAACCCTGCCCAGAGCAAACCACAGCGTGTCAACACCAAACCAGCCAGGCCTCGCCTGCTCTAGAGCCTCTGCTGCCAGGACCACCTTGTCTGAAGGGCTGGTGGCAGTGGGGGACAGCGGGCACAGCGCTGCCCGTGGGTACCAACTGCTCCTCCGCCAGTGATCCCCACTAAACGAGCTGTCCCTGGGACTGACACGGTTGGGGTCAGCGCCCTCAATCTGCCAGCGACCCACCAGCCCGGGTGCCATGGCCGTACCCTGCGGAGACACACCTGGCAGGACTGGCTGGACAAACCCGGCCACTGCAAGGAGAGAGGCAGAAGCGCAGCGAGTCCCCTGTGCCGCCCTTGAGCACCTGCCCGAGGGGCACTACCAGCCCCCAGGACGCCCGTCCGGCCCCGCCGAGCCGCAGGGAGAACGCCCCGCACCGACACCGGAGCACCTGCGACACCGCAGCCTCCCCGAACCCCCGCCGCTGCCTCCCGCCGCTCCAGCCCCGCGGCTGGCACAAGCCCGAGAGCCCCCGGACGGAGCGAGCGGCGGATCCCAGGGAAAGCAGCCCCGCTGCTGCCCCGGGCGGGACAGGGGGAGCCGGGCACAGCCACACCGACCTGCCCGCCGCCCCCACTGGCTCCTCCGGCCGCCGGGACATCACCGGCGCCTCCCGGGCCCCGCGCCCTCCCGGCACGGCCCAGGTTTCCTCTTAGGTCATTTCCTCGCCCGAGCCGGGGGAGGGCCGGGCCGGGCCGGGGCGGGAGAGCGCCGGCGGCAGCGCCACCGCCTGCGAGCGATGGGGCACGGCCGGGCTGCTCCCCCGGGAAACTCCCCGGCACTTCCCAGGCACGGCCGGGCTGCTCCCCCGGGAAACTCCCCGGCACTTCCCAGGCACGGCCGGCTGCACCCCTGGGAAACTCCCGTGGAACTCCGGCACCCTCGCAGGCACGGCCGGCTGCCGTTCCCCCGGGCACCCCCGCTGGAGGGTCGCGGGCAGCACTTACCCCTCTATCCTCACCTCCCGCGGGGCTCTCCCGGCGTGAAAACGGCGTTTATTCCTCTCTCCCCTCCGGGCCAGGGCAGGCTGCAGCAGAGTGGCATAAAAAAAATCAATAGGGGGAAAAAAAAAGTCAGGAAAGGGGAGATGTGCTAAGTCAACACACTGCAATAAGAGCCGAGTATGGCACAACACACTTCACGTTTTTCCTCTAAACTCCCAACCGTTCCACATGGGAAGAGCCCCCAGGGGGTGAAGTCTTTGCAGCAGAGCAGCCAGGCTGCTGAAACCAGGGAACAGCTCAGGAAACACAGAACGAGCACTTTGGGAACATTTTCTGCAGCGCTGTGTGGCCTGGCTGGAGACAAACAAAGCCTCAACTCACCCACCGAGGGTGGGTGGCTCAGGACCTGCTGCTGTGGCTCCGACAGCCCGTCTTGGATCAGCCCAGCTATGGGATCAGGCTGCAGAAATCCCCCTTGGCTGATCCCTTTTGGTGAGGTTCTCAACTGTGATTCCCAGTGCAGAGGGCACAGTTCTGCCTGCTGCTGAAGAGCACCCAGGAGCCAGTGATGCGAAAAACAGATGGCTCCTGCCATCTCACACTCTGGGCCCTGATTATCCTTCCCTTTTAGGCCACAGTGTTCCTGTGGGGTCCAGAAATATGCACCAAGAAGAAAGGAATAAACCCACTGTAGCCAGACACATGCATAACAAAATATTTAATGTACCTTGTCTCAAAGGAAGGCACACGTTGTGCTCAGACGCCTTCTGAAAACAGCAGCTGTGAAAGATCCGCTCAGGCAACACAGCAAAATGCCACAGAGTTACAGTTCTACATCACAAGAGATACTTAAACCCGAATCCAACACGACCTAGTCCAATCCCGACCATAAAACATCCATTTCCTGTCAAAAATCATGCTGTGTAGCTCTGGATGAGCATCCTGAGAGCAGGACTGTCCTAGGAACTTGGGGAGCCAGCCAGCACTGCAGGAAGCAGCGTGTCCATCACAGACCTTGTGTGTTCACCCGTCCGAGGCCGGCTCGGCGTCGTGGTGGAGCCGGGAACAACCACAGCACGACTCCTCTCCAATGCTCTGCCTGCTGAGGAGCTTTTGGACTGTTCTGATGGTAAAAGGCACTAGAAGAAAACAAATGCAACTGCTGAGCAGCTTGTGAGGTGAACTGCAGGCAAATCCCTGGTGATAGGATTACCTTGGAGAGAAATCCCAATGGCCAATATCAGGCACAGTGTCTGCATTGAGTCACTTCCCACTGAGCCTCATTGAGTCACTTCCCACTGAACGGGAGCAGCAGCTTCCAAAAGCAAATCTGTCCCAGCATATGGAAGAACAAGGTGACTACAGGTCTCTGGTCCTCTAATTCTAGGAATTTAGCTGCTAACAGGGTGTGGTTTTTTTGCCAGAGCAGCAGCAGAAATAAGACCTTGTCCTCCTAGTGGTTCATTCAGCCTCATCTCCAAAGAGAAAACAACACTCCTGTCACAGTTGTTTCCTCCAGCAAAGTGCAGATGAGAAATCTATGAGGGACAGATGCTGCTGACCAGAGACAAGTGACTGTTGGATGCAACTCCCAATATTGTCTAGTTGAGGTCATGTCTTTCTCCCTCTCACTGGAAGCCCAGGTGCCTTTATGGGCCTATAACATTTGTGACTCGCAGTCCAAATGGCCCTATGCCAAAGCCTTCCGACCAGGGAGTGTCTCTTCCACAGCCTGGGCCAGACTGGCACAACTTAAACTCTGACTTTGCCATCTGTTGGGTGGAGGCAAGCTCAGTTAATGCACAGTGGAGGAAAAAACTATCCCAAGAGGAAAAGCTGCTCCATACTCCCCAGAGCTGCCCTCTCTGTGGGACAGCCAAGCTGCACATGCCTGCCACATCCACAGCACCTCAGAGGAACATCATCCAAGCAGAGCACCGACTTTCCTGTTCTTTCCCACTGCTGAGTTCCCAACCAGTTTCCACATTTTGTGCAGTTTAACAGCAGCTCTTTGACATAAAATGGAAAACAAGTCTTGCAACGTTCAGACAGGACGGATGAGTCCCATTTCCTAAGGAAGCCTAGGTCAGCACTGAGCCTGTCCCTGCTAACCATGAGAGCATTGCTCTCACCAGCAGCCAAAAGACAATAACAAACCCAACCTGTTTGTGTCTGCTTTGAAATGGGACATTTCTCTCTCTCAGAAGGATGTCAGGAGGCTGAGTTCATTACTGCTTATGATGTCTTTCCAAGAAAAACAGGTGAACAATAAACAAAGCCAAGACATTGTTAAGATTTTGAGCAATCTCAGAAGAGCCTAAATAACACAGGAAGATGCCAATGGGATTGAGGCACTTTGAGAAATTTCATTCCACATTCTTTGCATTTTCTCCTCTGAACAAAACTGCCATTTTTAGAGTACATGCAGCTCACAGCCCCTCTTTGAGGGTCACATATCGGCCTCCTGCCTGACACTGACACTGCTCAGGGGATTTTATTTTATGCAGCTCTCAGTCACCTGCAGTGAGACAGCGACTTTGCACTCCAAGATCTCAAACCACAGCAGACACAAAGTTATTTGGCCTGGGCTTGCAAGGAATCTCTCCAGATACCTCAGCCCCCAGTGAAACAGCTGCTTTTAAAAACAGCCTCTCACAATAGCTCAGGATAAGTGAGCAATGCTGATATGCTCAAAATCGGCAGGAGAAGTTGCGTCAACGGAATGGAATTGGTCACGCTGGAATTTGGCCAGACCATTTGGGATTAACACCCTGAATACTGCAAAAGAGCTGGGAAAAGCTCTGTGTTAAGAGAAGAACCATGAAACCATCCTCCAAATAACCCAGCACTCTGCCCTACCCACCCTTCCCAGATGACTAAAGTTTGTATGGCAGGGCTCTTCCTCGGAACTCTTCCACACAGCCCAACCACGCCCTGCCCAGCTTGAAAACACACAGAATAAAAGAGGAGGAAGAAAGTAATTTTCCTCTTTTCCACTGTTACATAAATCAGAGTTGTTGGTTCGTTGTTTTGTTGGCTTTTTTAACCACTCCTAAAACCTTTGAAACTCCAGAAAAACACTTTTCCGGCTCTAATTCAATCATCCTTCTCTTGTGAAACACCACCAGGCCCAGCCAAACAATTCCCATTTGATGTTCATTCCTTTCACTTCAGCTAATCTTGTCAAAACATTTTCATCAGTTAGCACCAGTGTAGGATTGAGGTTCAGAAATGTTTTGAGGCCACTACAGAAATACTTGCTAGAAACATTCAAACTTATTTGAATTATTATTAAATAAATAATAATACTACTAATAATAAAAATTTACTAGTTTCCACAGGACTGTCCCTTCATTATTCCAGCTTATACTAAATATTTCTTAACTCCATACAGCATTTGTTTACTCACTGCACTGAAGCAAAGAACCCTGAAGTAAGAACTGGGCTTGTGCGTTGAATCCCTTCAGAGCAGGGCTCTTAATCTGCAGGTTTGCTTGTGAGAAGTGTGAGTGAGGCAATGCAAACCCCTAAGAGATGCATGGCCAAACAGACCCAGGAAGAGAAATGGGAACTCAGGATACAATCAAGCTCACTGGAGTTAAAGGAAAAGCAAGTCTGGGTCAGTGTGATCAGAGAAGACTCTGTGTTTAAGGTGGCTGAGAATGCACAGCCAGCAAGTGCTGACCAAGCAGAATCAGCTGGTAGAAAAGTAAAGGAAAACTGAGGGTTTGTGCACTCAAGTGGTTTTACCTGACTTCACTCCAGCAGGACAGAGTGACCTGTGCAACACCCAGACAAGGATTTGGTGCAAACAGCAGGCCTAGAGCAAGGGAGCAAAGCTGTGCGGATGCAGCGCTAGGAAGGGGTGTTGGGTTGGTTAAGCTGTACTAGGCTGGGTCAGGATCCCTCTCTGGGATCCAGGGCAAGCTCAGAAATTCACCCACTTTATTGGGTGCCTTTCCAGAGCACAGTTGCTGCTAGGGAGTGGTCTGTTGGTTCCCTTCTCTCTGTTAAATGAGTGCTTATGAGAGGAGACAGAGGAAAAAAAAGTGCTCAGTTGAACAGCTTCCAGCAAAGCAGCTCAGTGTCTCCAGCAGAACTGCAGTTGCCTTCTCCTTCTGCTTGGTCCCAGGAGGTGATTCCCCACAGGCTGGAGGAGCTCTGGCCTTTCCAACACGCTCGTGACAGAGCAAAGCCATCAGTCTCCCCTCCTGAGGAGAAGAGGCAGCCACACACATCCCTGTCAGCCTTCCTTCCTCCCAGTGCTGTCGGGGCTCTTCAGGGCGCACAGGAGGCTGCAGAACAGCTCATACCAGAAGAAGACGAGGCCGGTGGACAAGGCAGCCTTCAGCAAACTGGGGGAGAGGCCCTTAAAGAATCCACCTGAGCCCTCCTCCCGCGTGATCTGCCTCATGCAGTCCAGGAAACCCCCGTACGTCCGTACCTGGGAGAGGAACGGCAACGAGGTTAAACAAGAGAACTCCAGGACGACTGGGAGACAACACAGAGATCCCCAGACTATACCACAGAAGCATAATCTCAGCGTGCAGCCTGGAAATGCTTTTCTGGCTACTATTATAACTAAGTGAAAATCTCAGAGAGGCAGTTTAGAGAGAGTAGGATGGAGGAAAGGTACACATTTAGCATCAGCAGTAATGGCTTATGCAGATCATTCTAACTGTAAAATCTCTGGGCAACAACAGCATGACTTTAAATTTATGGCAAAAATTTACAAGCTTGTGAAGTCATTATTTCACATTGTGCTGGTACTCTTTTCCATCCCCTTCCCTCTTTAAGAAGGGACAACTTAGGAGTTTTTTGACAGAAAGAAAACACATCTACAGGACTTCAAAGTTTCCAGATTAGCTGTCTGCATGTCATCGTGTCACACTGTGCAGTTTTAACATCCTGTGACACGTCAGTGCTGAGAACAAACTCTGCACCGTCGCAAGGAAGAGGAAAAGCAGTCAGTGCAATCAGTTAAGACTTCAAATTCCAGGGCACTGGACTGGCTCCATAGTCATGAAAATCCATCACTTCCAACACTTCTCACCTGCCCAAAGGCTGCCCTAGCGTGCTCAAAGCCACCCACTTGCAGTCGCTTTTTGACCACGTCCAAGGGGTATGTGAGGGTTTTGCTGATGATCCCAGCACAGCTGCCACAGACAAGGTTTTTAATGTTGCCTGAGAAACAGAAAGGGAAGAGGAGAGCAGGCAGGGGAAAAAAGGAGGAGTTGTTATTAAAGATCATAAGAGGTAGGTAAAAAAATCTGTGCAGGGGTAAGAATGAGAGGTGGGAAATAGAGATACTTTTCAGATGTTGCATCAAAAAGGGTGAAAGGACTGAGAACTGAGCTTACATCAGCCACCCAGATGAACATTCCTCCTCCTTCTCTCCTGACTGCAGACATCACTGCCCCAAAGTGCCTACCTCCTTTCTTTCCTTCAGCTGGAATCACCCATTCCGAGAACTGCTGCAGGATGTTGTAGAAGAAGAACTGGAGACCAGCATATGGGAAGATAGCAACGAGTGTGGGGGTCAAACCTCTGTAGAAAGTCCGAGGCCCTTCCGTCTGGTACATGGTCACCACTGCGTGGCGAAGGTTGGGGTAGATCTGGACGAGGAAGAGCAAACCAAAGGTCAGGTCATTTCCCAGTAATGGGGATAGGAACTTCCCACTGCCCAAAAAACAGCTGACTGTTTTCAGCACAAAGTGATGAGCAAGGTGATTTTGCACACCCTCACACAGCCCTTGTGACTCAGAAGAAACAAAGCACAGAGCTGAGTCCTGAGACCACTTGCATCACAGACATATTTATTTTTCTCTTAACAGCTCTTAACTCCTGTAACAGAATCCATATCATATATATTGTGATTCTACTGCAGGCTAAGTAAAAACCCAAAAATAGCTCTGATACAAATCTATCTACCTGTGGGTATTACAGACCTAATTTGCATGGAAACCAATTCTTGTGTAAATAAGAACATGAAACACAGGTGAAAGGTAACTGGTTTCCAATATCATCCCTATCATTACTTAAACATGACTCTGTGTAAGTGGAAGGTTTCAAAACCACAGTGTTCAACAGCCTGAGGAAGGGGTTCTATGAATAGCCAACAGGTGAAGTAAACACTGAGTTATCCTGTTAAGGACAGTTTCTCCTTTCTGGATCATGTGTCAGGAGTCAAACAGAAGGAGGAGCAGCAAAACATAATTAAGAAAGCTGTGTCAACAGCACAGAGGTAACTTGGCAACGGCGCAAACACTGCCCATCACAGCACCCGCTCCCTCATTGTAACCCACAGGCTGTGTGTGCTTTCCAACCCCCTGCGTTCAGACACGTGGAATATCGCTACAGGTGACAGTCCCAAACCCTGACCCCTCAGGCTCACCTTGGGCTCGCCCTGAGCAGCGAAGCGGGTGCGCAGGGTGTCCACAGGCTGCACTGCCACGGTGGCTGTGCAGGCAGCCAGGCCCCCGCAGACCAGGTGCACGAAGGAGCCGCGGGCGCTGTACGAGGTGACGTTGTGCACCAGCTCTGTCAGGCCCTCAAACGCCATGAACTTCCAGAAACAAACGGACACAGGTCAGGAAGTCGATCCTCCTGACTCGCACGGATCTCCCACTCCTCTCTTATTTCACCAAGAGCTCCTCCCCCCTGCTTGTAACCACCTTCTCCGTCTGCCCTTCAAAAGTCCTCCCCAGCTTGCAACGTGTAAAACTCACTAAGCAGCCCAGGGAATGCTTGGGATATTCTGGTCTCTGACACTTCCGCTAATTCTTGCATTTAGAATCATGAAGTACTCACTTTAATGCTCTGTGTACCCTGAAGAGCATTTCATGTGTTACAAATACACTGTCCATTACCCTTTCAACCACTGCTCAATAAACTATTGTTAATATTTACAAACTCACAAGAAACATGCTGTGTAAAACACCCTCATCAGCTTCACTGCTTTTTTCCTAACAAGCCCTTATGGTGACAGCATGAACAAAAGCAAAAAACTACCCTGTCTCAGGACATCAACAGTGTCAGGAGTAAAGAGGGCTTGCCTGTGACACCAGATACAGCCAGAGCTCAGTTTGCTCTTTGTTGTGCTTCGGGCTGCTCAGCAAGCTCAGGAATATTAACTTAGGAATTATACATCAGCTCTACACAGCTACACATCCTCGAGACTGGCACTAGTTTGTGTCAGTGCAGTGTAAGGCTGGGTCCTCCCACACTGCCCACGCAGGGAAGGGAGCAGAGCAGTGCCCTGTGTGCTCACACTGGGCCCAGGCGATGTCAGGCCACCTCACCTGAACAGCTCCGTAGCCAACTGACAGGAACTGAGCAGGAACATGGCCCTTCCAGAAGGCTCCCAGGCCCTCCTCCCGGAAGATGCGCTGCACGGCTTGCAGGATGCCGTGGTACTTGGCCGTGGGGTTTCTGGAGGAGAGCTGCTCGATCTGGAGCTGGAGGAGAAGGGAGAAAATATTTTCCACTTCACACTTCAACAAGGTTCAAGCGTCCAATTCAGGAATCCACAACCCTGTCAGCCAGCCAATGCTAAGATATGACATTCTGCCATCCCACGGAACCACACCCAGATCTGCCCGGGATGTTATTTATGTGGGGCTCTAAAAGAGTAAAAACATGCGTGAACACGAAGGTAAGCAGTAGGGATGGGGGTGAAATTCAGCCAGGTAGTGGAAACCAGTCACAAAAACAGAGAAAGAGAACAAACTATGAAAACCACGTGATTCCATTCAAAGGGATCCCACTCCCACACGAGTTAAGTTATGTAAGTAGAACCGCTGGTCACAAGACAGCCCTGTTACCTCGTGTAACCTGTACACACCGTCGGCAAGGGCAAGCACATTCAGTGCTCTCTGGCTGCACAAGTGACCTGTTCACCCAGGACAGGACCAGCTCTGCTGCCTGACAGGCTCCCCCACCCGCTGCCCCCGAGCACGCCGCGAGCGAGGTACCTGAAAGCGGATCTTGACGACATCCAGGGGGCTGATCAGGACCCGAGTGACCAAGCCGGACGCCGACCCTGCTGCGGCCGCTTCCACCGTGGACACGCACTTGGCCTCGGGGTCGTAGCCCACCATGCCCGCCGGGTGTCCTGGGCGGGGGAAGGGGCTGGGAGCCCTCCCCTCACACGCGGCTCATACGGTAAGTCCGCAGCCTCGCCCCCCACACGGACCCTCCACCCCACAGCCCCCTCCTCACCCCGCGGGCCGCACAGACCGGCCCCAGCGGCACCCCCAGGCCCCACAGCCGCCCCGCAGGGAGGCAGGACCGGCGCGGGTGGCACCGGGGGTGTCGCGGCCCTGGGCCGGGTCCCGCCGTGCCGCCTCAGCCACAGCCGCCGGCTCCGCACTGCGCCTGCGCCGCGCGGGGGGCGCTGGGAGATGTAGTCCCGGGAACGGCGCCCGCAGCGCGTGTGGGACGGGGCGTTGGCGGCACCGCGGGGCCCGTGAGGCTGGAAAACACCTCTGGGATCCAACCGATGGAAATATGTCCAGCCTATGACCGAACATCACCATCTCAGCCAGACCACCACCGCCAGGGTGCCAAACACCTCCAGGGACGGGGATTCCGGCACCCCCTGCACAGCCCGTTCCAATGTCTAAAATCACCCTTTCTGTGAAGGAATTCCTCCTCCTGTCCAACCTCCCTGGCACAGCTTGAGCCTATTACTTCTTGTCCTGGCCCTCGTTCCCTGGGAGCAGGGCCCGACCGCCCCTGGCTCCTCCCTCCTGTCAAGGGGTTGCAGAGTGAGAAGATCCCCCCCAAGCCTCTTTTTCTCCAGGCTGAGCCTCCCCTGGCTCTTCCTCAGCCGTTCCTGGTGCTCCAGACCTTTCCCCAGCTCCATTCCCTTCTCTGGACACAAGAAGAGCAACACAGCCCTGCCAGGAGAGGGGAAGGTCAACTTACACAACCACGGCAGCTACAAACGCTTTCTTGGCTCTACAGGGCACAGGGGAAGCAGGGTTTGTTTCTAAGCTAACCCAGGTACAGTAGCACATCACTTCATGCATCATGTTCTCTTGTGGCATTACCAAAAAAAGCCAAGAGCTCCGAAACACACCGCAAATTTTCCATAATAACTTCTGGCACAAATAAAGATCTAATCATAGGAATATCCAGGCATTTCTGAGCAACCACCGTGACATCATCATTTGAACATAACAACTAAGAGCAACTGTTAAAAAAACACCCAAACTCTCCTGTGGGCCTTTTCCTGACACGTATTACAACTAACTACAACATTCACATTATTCACATTTCTGACTGTAAGCAAAGGCTGGGGAGAAGCTGCAGAGCCCACGGACCGACAGCTCCTGACAGGTGACCTCCAGGCCTGCCTGCACACCTTGTGAGCACAACGGGGCAGCTCTTTAGGCACCAGAAGTGAAAATCTGCAGGGCACTGATGGAGCAGAGCCAAAGCCACAACAGCCTGAGCCCCAGCTGTGCTCACACCAGCCATACAACCACCTTCCTTCAGACACTCCACAAAGGCCAAAGCACACCTTGCAGCTTTTCCCTCCCATGGCAATTTAATATACAAATTATCTCAGTCATATTTTGGTCAGTTCACTGAAATAACAGACAGATGCTCAAGTGAAGAATTCAATGTATATTTATTATTCACAGTTAATTACTATCTACCAAATGCTGCTGCAGAGTTAAAGGATTAAGTACATAGGCCTTTTTTTATTTAAACACTGATTTTTTTTTTAATATATATACACACACAAGACATATGTCTGCAAGGCTGCATGATATACACCAATTCCAAAATAAGGAAACAATCAAATGGTCCAGGTGTAGAATGCCATAGATTCCTTTTCCAATCACTTTACAAAGAGGGAAGAAAGTGAGTTGACAGCTAGCAAGGAGAGGGGGAGAAAGTAATACTCTACAGGATAGCTCTCTCTTTCATTTGCTGGAAAATTAAAGTGTAAGGCAGAGTCCATCTCAGGAGTAAAACACTTGTAACACTTAGTACAAAAAAAGGCACCCTCCAACAAAAGATTGCCCGTGCTCAGGCAGGGCGGGAGGAGATCTCCGCTGCGGGTTTGGATTCGTTGGTGGGGTGAAGGGATCCAGCCAAACGGCCACCAAAGGAAAAATAACGCAACTGAAGATTGGCACAGAGCGCGGTGCAGATTGATTGCCTTCCTTCCGTCCAGCTCAACGGCAAACTGCCCCGGGCAGGAGCAAAGGGCCAACAGAGCCGCCCCCGGGGTGCGGGTGGGGAGAACAGTCACAGTCACACACAGCCTGCTGTGAACGGGAGCTACTCCAACAGTAACACTGACCTGAGGAGGGAGGAGGGACTGCACAACAGGGATGGCCAACTCCACTTCCCAAGGGCAACACGACTGCACGTGTTCCCTGTCCAGGCCGAGGAGACAGGCTGATCACATGCATCACGTAGAGACATTCACTAAGAGCGGAAAGGTTTTTCAAGCACTATTTCTTGAGGTTTCTCTGCGTTATAAAGTTTTCCATCAAAGGAATGTACATTTTATAGGACACGTCAGGGCTATTATTCCTCAAATTCCCCCCTTAACCCTCCCTCCCCAAAATATTCTTCCTCATTTTCCCTGGTCATAACTTTCCCCTTTCTCTTACTTCTTTGAGGCTCCTGGTTGCAGCTCTCCACCTCTGAGCAGCCTAAGTTGCCACTTGAATGCCTTGATTTTATTTTCCTTGGAATAAGGGAAGTTGAACAGTAAGACAAATCTGAAGATTAAAGCTCCATCTCTGTTTGTAGATTTTTCTCAAGTGTCCTTTGATAAAACCACCCTCTTTTACCCCCTTCCCCCCAAATATTTATTTACATGTAGGCAGAAAAAAACCCCTCTGAAAAGCTCTGGACTGTCCTTTTAACTTAAGAAATAATAAAAAAGAAAATAAGGGAAAGGCACTATGGAAAAATTACAGAATGTGCTCAACCGTACACCTTTAAGAAAAAACAAAAAAGCTGTCAGCACAGCATTAACAGACTTCAGTTGTACATTGGAGTTTCTCAAAGCAGCTCTGTGACTCAAAAGAAAAAACAGAACAAAAAGCCACACAACTCTTCTCCCTTCCTCTGCTTGGAAGCTGCTGAGCTTCAGAAGAAAGTGCCAAAGGAGAAGAGACAATAAAAATTAGATTAACACCTCATCTTTCCCAGGCAAGAAGAGCTGAATGTTGAAGGCAAAAGCAGAGACTGATGATTTTTGTTTTTTTTTAAAGGCAGGACTGTGGATTTGGTTCTTCTCTCATGTCCCTTCATGTCAAATGAAGACCGTTTGCAGAGAGAGAAAATACCAGCAGAGTTTCTCCCTTTTCCTTTAACTGCATGGCTAGGACTTTATATGGCATTAAAACTTCATGCACTGATGGACAGAGGAGGAGGGGGAAACAAGAAGAGTTGTGGTGGTGCGACCTTAAGTGACCTTAAAACACTCATTCGCGACAAGAGTGAATAAAAGGGGATAACCCAGGAGCAGCTGAGGAAATTTGTTATTTTCATTTTTCTCTCTCTCCTTTTTTTTTTTTCTTTCTTTTTTTTTTTTTCCTTTAAGATAAGTTTTGGTGTGTAAGTTGAACTCTTCCCCCCCTGCCCCTGAAGTTCCGTACTGAGGGAAGGCGGATCACCTCCCGCTGAGAGGTGACTCTGGTTTTATCGCCGTGTGATTTTAGGTCACTGGCTGCAGTTAGGCTCTGTATGTGTATTTACTGTTTCTCTGGTTTCCTTAAATAATCTCTAATATTTATCTCTAGATGTTCCGGTTCACTGGGGTCACGTAGTTGCGTGGAAACATGCCCGTCTGTCCGCGGCAGGCTCCCTTCCACCAGTTGGGGTCAGAATTGTCAAGGACTTGGATAAAGTCTCCACGATGGAAGCCCAGCTCTCCTTCCTCTTGGGGATCAAAATCAAACAGGGCCTGAACGTATGTTGGTTGCTGAAAGGGGAAAGAAAAACATACACAGAGTGAGAATCACCCTCGGCACTGCAGACAGCTGCTCCCTGGGGCAGGAGCTGCACTTACACCCCAGCTGAACAATAAACATTTCAGGCTATTTCGTTTCCCAGCTTCCAACATCTGCAGCAAGGTGCTGAACCAGGAAAGCACAGGCTACAGAAGACCTTAGGAAAAATTCAAGTTTCTGGGAAAGAGCTGAAATAAAGAGAGCAGATAATTCTGATGTTTCATATTTTTCAGTCTTTGTGACCCACTGGAAATCTGTGCTCTGTTGCAATACAATCCTCTTGCTGCTTATTTGTCCTGTTTTCCCCTGGCAGCACAAATATTACTGTGATACACAAAGTTCCCCCTAAAAACTGGATGTTGGCATTTTACACATTTTCCTTAAAACTCTCTTCTGTCACAGAAGATTTTGCCTGGTCAGCAAATACTTCCATTCGTATGCTAACAGTTCATTTAAAATGCATTTGCAATCTTGAAATCATGAAGGTCTCTTCATGCTTTCCAGCCAGGTGTTTTTTCATCCTGTTTATCCCTGACCCAACAGTGCAGAGCCACCTGTTAATTCAGATAGACTGTGGCACAGGGTGCCAACAGCACCTGGAGAGCAGGATGAATTCCTCACCCTTTTCTTCAAGCCAGAACCAGAATGCTGCATGCAGAAGGCAAAAGGATTTATCCAAAATTGGCAAAACATGCAGTTACATGCAATATAACCCTCTGATTGACCTGGGAAATGAAACAGAACAGAGAGCTGGATATACACAAGCTGCTCTGCTGGCATTTCACAGTAGTTTTTGGGTTTTTTTTAACACTGGCTATATCCAAACCAGAGCAGGGATGTTCCAGATGCTGTAACCACCTCTTCAGGAAAGGCCAGCACCAAATTCTCACTGGATCTTGTGTGGTGCAGTTCTGGCTATGAACCAGTGTAAAGCAGAACAGAATCACAGAATTGTTTAGGTTGGAGAAGTTTGAAGACCTTTAAGATCACTGAGTCCAACCATTACCCCAGCACTTCCCTATCCTTTCTTACTGCCTCCTATAACAGGAGTAAATCCATTTTTAATTCAAAGGAATCAGATGATGTTCCTGCAACAGAATCCATAAACATTACAACAAGCCAAATGTTGAAGCAGCAACAATAACACTTTGCCAGAGTTCAAGGGAGACCTGGGAGTGCAAGTGGGCTTTGCACAAGAA